CAAATAAATCAGGCCATGAAAAGATTTAAATTTGTGTGGTAAATCTGGATGAATTTGAGTAGATTAATCGAACAAACCCTGAAAAACTAGGTTAACCCAGAAAAAGCTCTAATATAAACGCACTATTAAATTAATTTTTAAAATATTCGACTAGGGCGGATTTTAGCACAATTTTCGAATAATACGTACTTATTATTGAGTCTATATCTCGTGAACTATTCGAAATATTGCTTTTCTCTCTTAAGCAATATTTTTCCTCTTAATTACGTCTACAAATTTTCTCTTGAGACAAAATCAATAAAACAACAACATCATACTGAAAATAGCAAAACTGCAAAAAAAATTAAAATTCTAATTAAGAGGAAAAATATTGCTTAAGAGAGAAAAGCAATATTTCGAATAGTTTACGAGATATAGATATAGTATTATTCGAAAATTGTGCTAAAATCCACCCCCAGTCGAATATTTTAAAAATTAATTTAAAAAAACAAGTGAAAAAGCGTTAAGTTCGGCCGGGCCGAACTTTGGATACCCTCCACCATAGATATACGGGCAGGCACTAGAAATTAAATAATAGGGAACATGTCAAAAAGTGGACCTATACCGACATTTCTAAAAACGGATTATGTTAACCTTAATGTAAACAACAATACAAATTTCAGAAAATTTTAATGGATAATTATACCTTCAGCCTTACAGCTAATGACGGTGTATACACTTTAACACATCGAAAATTTTGGTTCTAGACCATGTTTCTTTGGACCAAATCCGTTTCAGTAAAGTTGGATTTCATTCAAACCTCGCACATCTTATTATTTCTTCCAAACTTAGTTCAAATTCGAAGATGGGGAATATCGGTCCACTTCTTCTGGTACCTCCACACAGGGGCTAGGTCTAAATGCGGCTATAGTTCATTATCGAACCTTACGTTCTAATTTTTTATCTCGCTATCCTCCGCAGGTGAAATGATTACAACAGAGTCTTAGAACCAAAATTAAAACGCGTAACAAATCAGATAACTATTTTAATATAAAAAGGGGGTTATATGGGGACTACCCCAAAAAGGGGGCGAATATTAATAATTTTTGGTAGGGAGATTTGTTACCATATACGACTACAAAATACCAAATTGCAGCAAATTCGGTTGATAAACGCGTTCAAGAACCCCAAAATACCGAAATTTGGGGGTATCCTTATATGGGGGCTATCCGAAAAAATGGATCTATATTCATAATTTTTTGTGGGGAGATTTAGTACCTATTAAGAATTCAAAATACTAAATTACAGCTAATTCGGCGGAAAAATACGATCAAAGCCCCCAAAATACTGAAAATTAGGAGGTACCGTTATATGGGGACTACCAGAAAAAGTGGACCTATATCCATAATTTTTTGTGGAGAAATTTATTACCCAATAGGAACCCAATATAGCAAATTTCAGCGAATTCCGTTGTAAAACGCGGTCAAGAACCCCAAAATACCGAAAATTGAGAGGTACCGTTATATGGGGGGTACCAGAAAAAATTGACCTATATTTATAATTTTTAGTAGGTTTATTTGGTACCCAATAAGAACTCAAAGTACCAAATTTCAGCGAATTCTGTTGAAAAATACGCTCAAGAACCTCAAAATACCGAAATTTTGGGGTTACCCTTACATGGGGGCTGTCCGAAAAAATGGACCTATATTTATAATTTTTAGTGGGGATATTTTCTACCCAATAAGAACTCAGAGTACCAAATTTCAGCGAATTCGGTTGAAAAACACGCTCAAGAACCTCAAAATACCGAAAATTGGGGGGTATCCTTATATGGGAGCTATGCCTAAACGTGGACCGATATAGCCCATCTTCGAACTTGACCTGCATGCAGACAAAAGACGACTCTATGCAAAATTTTGGGGCTCTATCTCAATTCGTTTAGACGCTAGAGTGATTACAACAGACAGACGGACAGACGGACATGCATAAATCGTCTTAGAATTTTACGCTGATCAAGAATATATATACTTTATAGGGTCGGAAATGAGTATTTCGATGCGTTACAAACGGAAAAACAAAACTAATATACCCTCCATACTATGGTGGAGGGTATAAAAAACTTAGCTAACAATGCAAAACCCAGCTAGGGATTTTCTTCCACCATCACAAGCTTCAAGATTTTGGGGGTCTCGATTGGTTCAAGATTTTAGTGCTGCACAGTGTAATTAGCAAAATGAACATATTCATAAAAAAATCAAAAAGTTGCTTTAGTTTCGACCAGGCAAAAATTGGGTTAAATTAATTTTCCGTACAATATTTTTTACTTCAAAATACACGTTGAGTTTATATTTCTTTAAAAGAGAATACATTACCAATTTTTCTGAAAAAACTTAAACGGCATATACATTAGAACTTTTTACCGGGTTAACCTACTTTATGAAGGATGATTTATTTGACATACATGCAAAGGAATTGACAATTGAAACCCACTGGGTTAACGAAATCCGGTTAAATGTAAACGTACTACTACAGGTCATTTATACTGTTTGCAATTTCCGTTGCTTTTGTTTTAGCCACCAATGTATATACTGTGGCGATCACTTGCAGGGAAAAGTGCTTTGATAAACCCTCGGTTCGTTTGGAATATTTTTAAATCATTTTTTGCTCAAATCAATTATGCGTACTAGAGCGATTTTAGGCGTTCAGAAAGAATTGTTGCCAATTTTAATAGTTTTTATTGATTTTTTTTTTACTTAAGTCTTGATTTAGATTAGGCGAGTTTACTTGCGGCAAGTCTTTGTTTGTAGGAGAGAGGGGCAAGGGGAATAGAAATGAAAAAAAAATTGCTCGTACCGACAATTTTCTGGCAATTCGTTTTGTGTATTTCGTATTTGTTGACATTTTATATAGTTTTAAATGTGAAAAACAACAAATAGAAAAATATTTTGGAAACCGAATTGCCTTGTATAAACGCATGAAGCAAGTTCAAAAGAGAACGACAAGAATTGCCGCAAGTAAACTCGTCTAATCTAAATCAAGACTAATTTATTAACATGAAGTTGGTTTTTGTATCGTATTTTAATCTTCCTTTACGTCAGTAAGTAGTTACTAAAGATGATCAAAATTGGATAACAATACATTTGTTTTTTATAAAATTGCAAAGTATCGCCCTTTTACACAAAAAAAATTGCCGAAGAAGGTAACTATTAGATGATGGAGCGAAAAACTCTCTTCCAAATGCTGGCATGATTTTTGGATATTTTTGCGATAGAAAATGCTTGCTGGGTGCATAGTGTATGGAGCCTTTAAATCAGCTAGAGACGACAAAGAATTTCTATGCAGAAATTGTCCCAATTATTGTACTTTGTTCCGATACTGTTAATGACAGATGAGTTGCGCCATCTGGTTTCTAATACTATATAATGTTGGGGCGCCATACCTTCCATATAACCGAATAACCACTAATCAGCTGTTGTAGAACAATAAGGTACCAACAACCGATTAACCACTACGATACGGCCTAGTCAATTTTGTTTTGATCCTTATTTCTCCCCATTTCACCACGCCGACAATTTCAAATCGCCGACATTGTACTCCGAATGAAAGGAACTAGGGATACATAGTCGAGAGTAAAAATCAACTTTTCGATTTTTGTCTCTGAACAAAACGTCGACATTTCGGTTTTTGTTCTGACTCATGGTACAATTATAAAAGGTAACAGCAAATCCCAGCTGATTTGATTCCAACGTAATACTAGTGTCAATATGAATTTGTCAAATTATGTTTTTAAAAATCACCTAACAGGAAAATTGGGAACGCATACAATTTGAAATTGTTCTTTATTAATGTGCTCCCGTATTCAATTTACTCAATCTGCCTGCTGGGAAAGTTTGAGGAAGCAAATCTTTCTTGAAGGAATTACTCGCATTGTCATATGTGTTACACATATATATGGCAATGGCTCAATTAAAGGAAAGATGTGGAAGCGATAGAAATATAAATTTGATAGATTTTCATTCATGTTTTTCAATGTTTATTTTGAGGATTCGAAAATATTCCATTTTACAAAATAAAAATAACTTGATGATAATTTGTTTGTATGTTTACATTTTTCTGTCAAATGAGTTGACACTAGTAGAACTTACAACAACAAATTTCCATGTGGTTGTTGTATACGTTTTTTGTACAACAACACTTGCTGTTACCTTTTATTATTATACCATGGTTCTGACTAAAAAGTTGAATTTTCCGTCATATACGATACAGCTAAAACAGCATAATATGAGCCATAAAGTACTGAGAGTTGCAACAGTTATATATTATATAAATATTAAATTAAAGTCTCTCGATGCATATAGATTAATTAGTTTATTAATTTAATTCATATTATTAAAGCAATTTTAAAAGCAACATATATCATCACATTCCCCTACTTTTATTTAAGTTAAATCTTATTTTTTATTTTAAATAAATTTAGTTTATTTTCAGGATTTCGTAATTTAAAACCCCAATTTTTTTTTTAATTGGGGAAAAACATCGATCGTTTTACGTCAGCAACGCCGCCGCACATTAACATTTCAGTATGGCTCGGTTCTCTGCCTGCGCTTCTCATTTAGTCTCCATCCCACCTCATTCGTAAACAATTCAGTCTCCCTCCCACACCATTCGTAAATTTTCGACCATTTTGTCTTCTCCTCCCATTCGTTAGCAGGTGGAACGTTTTTCAATTTTTCTTCAGACGACGTTGTGTCTGGCACAATCAAAATTAACAATGAACGAATGAACGGAACTTTGAAAAAATTTTCCTTCAGATCAAAAAAATAACAATAAACAACCAACAACAACACCAGCAACATAATAATAGAACTTCGCCGTTGTCAATAGAAAGAATGAAAAGTGCATTAGAAGTACGATTAGACATTACTGAATGAAGTAGTTGGTGGCAACCACAAAAATACATCCGAGAAAATTACAAGAATTACAAGGTAAACCTGCAGAGCTATCGTACAGAAAGAATTTTGTCAAGGTCTGGTCTAAAAATAAATGGAGAACCCAACTGGTGATGGCGTAATGGACTATAGCGATTATGATTGGTCACCAAATTATGGCAACTTGCCTATGGAGGTATGCATGGACAGGACTTTTCAAAGAAGTTTGGATTTGAAGAAATATTGAACTATTTATTGAATATATAAATATTTTTCACGTGATTATGACGCACCTACCTGATTGATCACTCTGTATATCTGCATTTTATTCAGCCTTACTTCAAAAGCGAATGCATATCAAATTTTAAATATCTATGTAGACAAAGAAACAAAATCAAGTTTTGCGTTGCAATAAGTCATGTGCCGATAAGACAATGGCTGTTCCAGAAAGCTTTTCTTTATATCTTTTTTTTAATAAATTAGAAAGAATATCTGTTATATGTAGATATATAGAGTTGTTCCTATCATATGAAAATAAATATTCCATTATTATACTATAAAGGGTTGTAATACTATTCTCAAGTCAAACAAACCACAATTTTAATACTACGACGTAAATCTAAACACCATAAAATGTTATTGCACTACATCGCACTATGAATTATTAAAGAGTGTGAAATAAGTACATTTGTGCTCATACAATTAAGTCACTTTGCGATCACTTCTCAAAGGAAACAAAAATTTTGTAACGTTTTTTTTTTTAATATTTTCTTTTCGTTGATAGTTTTGTATTCTTGAGCTCTAATATTCAAAAGCATAATTATCATAAATATTAAATAGTTTTGCTGCATAGTTCTTAGTCCATATGCATATTTATGTCATTTATTTTGCTAAACTGTAATTAATTTTAAGAACGGATTTCATTTCCTGTTGATTCATAATTGTGTGTTGTATGTATTGAAAGTTATATCTGGAACTTCGGAATATAATTTTCACAAGTTACAGCAAATTATAAATATGATTGCTAGATTTGTTTATAATGTAAGAATTCGTGAGCATATTTCTATAGAATTATTAAAACCGGAATACCCAGGTCGTTACGTGCGTTGTTTACATTTTCACATTCTAGCAGAAACCCACAGATTTATATACATTTAATTAATAGCTCCTTATATAAGAAATCGTATGTTGTTCGTGTTGCGAGGTTTGGAAATTCCTACCTATTGTGTTGCGAATTTTTTCGCATTCGAATAATGCGTTTCGTTTAAAACTTAAACTTTATTTTTCGGAGAATTAGTTCATTCGTGTTTTATGGTCTTCGTACTACGTGCGTTGCTAATGGACATTTGTATGTTTTTGTAATAATATTACTGTTAAAGTAAATTAGGCTGGGGAGCCAATGTTGTAAATAAGAAATGAATTTTAAACTATCAGGTTTTTAATAATGCTTTTAATACAGTAAATAGGCCCAAGAGGCTTTTTTATTATGAATAAAATAAATGAAATAAATAAATAAAAATAATTGTTAGTCGACGAATAAGAAACATTTTTAACATTGTAAATAACGCCACCCATCATTCAAAATAGACGCCCATGTGCTGCATTTCGAGTTTGCTCGAATGTGAAACATTTTCCCACATTTGGTGTACTCCATTCCGAATACCCAAAAATATTGGGAGTATTATTCGAGCACATGTAGCATTGTAGATCGAAAAAATTAGATTGTACGTGCTTTCTGAGCACATACAAGTTAAACAAGAATGCAGATTTAATAGGGTAAGCGCTCGTAATACCGGCATGTTGCAATAGTCGGCATCTGTGGTATATAACTTCAAATAACTTAATAATTCTATAACCTAATATGAATAATACATTAAATAATCTTCAATAATATTGCAACCTATCTCTGTGTAAAATTTCATCGGGCTAAGTACATTTATTCAGCCAATGACAATGAGGGTTTTCAACACTAGCGACATGTCAATAGGGCATGTCGATTTTAAACGATTTGTTACTATATTTTAATTATATATTTTTCACGAGGATATTTTTCCTAATTGTAAGGAACATACAGGAGAACACTTTAGAACAGGGCTGTCCACACTAATACATTCAAGTTTTGTGATTGTATATCAGCTGTGCCCAAAATAGGTCCCATGGGCTGTCGGTGTGTGTCAAATTGCTCACACATACAATTATAAAAGAGAAAATTTTGAAAATAAAAAATATTTTCAAAATTGTCATTCATTCCTTTTTGTTTTTATACACTAACCGAAAAATTTGGATATTTGTGGCAAACATTAGTTCGGAACAGATCGAAATATGTGAGCAATATTACGTCGGAAGGGCAAAAAAGAAACAAATATATCTTTATATGGGAAAATGTATCATCAACAACCATATTTGCATAAAATATTAAATTTTTTTCTTCCTTAAAATTTGAAAATAATATTTTAACAAAATTTCTCCCAGTATATGACATAGAAACAGAACTTTTGAAAATTTTGTATTTGAAACATATACAATCACAAAACTTGAATGTATTAGTGTGGACAGCCCTGTTGTATATGTTTCAAATACAAAATTTTCAAAAGTTCTGTTTCTATGTCATATACTGGGAGAAATTTTGTTAAAATATTATTTTCAAATTTTAAGGAAGAAAAAAATTTAATATTTTATGCAAATATGGTTGTTGATGATACATTTTCCCATATAAAGATATATTTGTTTCTTTTTTGCCCTTCCGACGTAATATTGCTCACATATTTCGATCTGTTCCGAACTAATGTTTGCCACAAATATCCAAATTTTTCGGTTAGTGTATAAAAACAAAAAGGAATGAATGACAATTTTGAAAATATTTTTTATTTTCAAAATTTTCTCTTTTATAATTGTATGTGTGAGCAATTTGACACACACCGACAGCCCATGGGACCTATTTTGGGCACAGCTGCTTTAGAATGATTTAAAAATGTTTGCAATCATAATATATTTATACATACCGTCCTTAGGAACAAACATGTTTAAGGTTTTCCTATAGTCGGTATATGGGGGAACACCTTTTCGATCATTTGGGTTAAAAATTGAAAAAAAAAAGTTAAAAGAGTTGCTCTACCGATTAATTATAAAAAATTCATTTAGATTGGTTTTACATACTAGAATACAAGGTTCTAATCTTAATCCATCCCGAGAATTGGATAAAAGGTTCCCGAAATCGGCACCATGTTTTATAATTGCATATATTTTAGTAAATACAATTAATATAACTTTTTCAATACAAAGCTGATGGAATCGTCAGATAATAATAATTTATTAATGCAAATAACTAAAAAATCGATGAAATTTATTATTTATGTTTAACTAAAATGCGACATGCCGACTTTTGGAACATGACATGCCGACAATTGGAAAAAAGTGCCATTTTACTCAACTTTAATACAAATTAATTAAATTATTTGTTGTAAATGTAATGATTTGTATGAAAAATATGTATTATTTATTGTGATCGGAGAAAACAGTTCCCTATTCGCATAGTTCGTTATAACCGACGTTCGTAATAATGTTGCTTTATTACGTTCTGTCAATGTGGATTAGGAATGCTGTATGACTGGCCAAATTTTATTACATTCATATAAATAAGTGTATTTAATTTGATGGAGCACATTTAAGGCGCCCAGATATAAACAAAGTAATAGTAAAATACAATCACCGACTGCTAATCGTGGGAAGTGACCTAAGACGTAAAACATTGAATATATAGTGCCAAATTTCGCTTCGGCGTTTTTTTGGATCATAGGTAATTTCCACAGAGATTATCCAGGAAAACTTGCCGACTATCTGCCTGATATGAGTAGTTTTGCTAGAGTAATCTGAAATATACAATCGTCTGGTTTTAAATTTTAAAAGTAGTCAGAAATTTATGGTAACATATATTATTTTAGAAACAGTATGAGACTATCAGCAAATAATTTATTATATGTTTTCAGATAATTTTGCACATATTTCGATATTTACATCATGCCGACAGACAGGCTGCTGGAGCCACATGCATACGTTGGCGTGAAGCACTTTTCGTTGCTGAATTCAATCGTAACATTCAAGTGCATTTTGCCAAAGTGTGCCTTTCTGATCGCTTACCACCAGCCAAGTACTTTCTAAGATGTCAGCGACCCTATCGTACTTTTTATTTAGAAGAAGTAACATTTGGCCAAGCCCAAAATCTTTTGGAACAAATTGGAAATACTGCTGTTGAAATAACGTTTGATAATGCCGACATCGGAGACAAACAATTCTGTGCTTTTATGCAGCAATTAACCAAATTGGAATCACTGACAGTGACCCGTTGCTCGCCACTCTTTATGTCCGGCTCATTTTTAGAGGGTAACACAGATGTGGCTGACAGCTTTTCAAATGTTCGTCGTCTCTCCTTAAAGAATAATCAGTATCTTACCGACGCGATACTGTTACGTTTGACTTCGCTGATCAAAAACATGGAATCGTTTGATATGTCAGCATGTCATATAGCATACCACAACGCCATTCATCGTCGATTTTACCCGAACGACGCTATGTCCAATAATCCCAGCGAGTCAATATTAACCTTTAAATTTATTGCAAAAGTGGCCAACTGTCATAGGAAAAGTTTGAGAGAACTTAACCTCAGTCACACTATGATGAGTGGGCCGGCATTGCAGTCTCTAGCACGTAGTGAAAACGATGAGTCCGGTCTCAATCTCGAAAAACTTTTCCTAACAGGATGCCAACAAATAAATACCAGTGGACTGAAGCTGTTTTTACAAACTCAATCTAATCTGACGACTTTGGATTTAGCGGACACCCTTTGTGTGAATGATGATTGTTTGACCTGCATTGTAAGTTCACTGCCACAGCTACAGGACCTTAATGTTGCCGGATGCAGTGGAGTAACTAATGCTGGAGCAATGTTGCTGGCCAACGCAAGTCGTCTTCAAAATTTAAATATATCTCGTTGCGACGGCATTACAACAGACGGCCTAGCCCATGGGATTGCTAAAGACACAAATCGTGTTTTACAACGCCTCAACATGTCAAACCTTATTGTTTGCGAAGAAGGTATTAAAAGCATAGCGCGAAATTGTCCAGAACTGCGAGTACTCAATGTGGGGCATTGTGTTAATGGAGTCACCGATGAATCAGTGCAATGTATTGTTCAACATCTCCGCTGGCTAAGAGAACTATCACTCGAGGACTGTTTCCGTCTTACGGACGCGGCTTTAACGGGTATTGATATGTCGAAGTTGGAAATGAAGAGCTCGGCGAGCTCAACTATGGGTACATTAGACAATTTCCACCCAACTCCACCCTCATCCATGCATGAGTTGGAAGCAATTCGATCTTCATCGCCACAGTTTATGAAAATATCCCTACGCAGCAAAGCCGAAGAAGATATTGTAAGAGATGCAAATCGCAAACGAGCAATGTTTGCCGTATATGAGTTAAATTTAGTAGACGACGCCACATTAGATGGCTACAGTATACAACAGCTTAGAGGCCTGCGTTCCCTCAACCTAAAAGGTTGCAACAAAATCACAGATGTATCGCTTAAATACGGCCTTAAGTTCATCGAATTGCAACGCCTTTGCTTGTCTTATTGTCAGCAAATTTCTTCGCTTGGAATGGAAGCATTGGTATCGAATTGTCCCTCCATTGAAGAATTAGATTTGTCAGATTGCTACAACATCAATGACAAAACCATGCAGCTGGTCACTGCCAAATTAAAACGTTTACGTACACTGCACATTAGTGGATGTTCTCAACTAACTGAGCATAGTTTGGATGCAATTCTGGTGAATTGCAAATGCCTACAGGTAACTAATACATACTGACAGATAAGATTTTGCTTATTGATTCGTAATACTTCAGTTTCAAAGCTAAACCCCAAGAATATTTTTAAATTATGTTTAATTTATCTTTTAAATTTTCGTTGTAGACACTTTCGGTCTATCGTTGTCGCAGCATGTATGCAGATATTGAAGATCGCCTATCAGTTTTGTCAACATTGCGCAACTTGAATATGGACAATTCAAGAAATTTTGATAATGGTGAAATCTTTCGATTGAAGAAACGACTTGACTACTGATATTTTGCGGCTATTTTTGTTGTTTGTATATTATACTATTTTCAGTTATATAGATTTCATTGAAGTACATTGTTTTTTATTGTCCATTACCATGACCATTCAAAAGTAATATATTTATATAAAAAACTCATTGAAAAATTTAATTTTCAAAAGTATTGAATTTTCTAAATAAAAAAATGTTATGTTTTAAAGATTTAACTGTGATTGATTAAACAAAATACCACGTCTTCGAAATATATATGTACATCGACATTAATCATTTACATTATGTACAACAATACATATGTATTTAATATATAAATTATATCTAGACCAAGTTAGTTAATTGAAAAATCTTGTTCTCCTACATAGAACTTTATGTAAAATTGTGCAATCATAAAATAAAAATGAAAAAATAAAGGTTTATGTGATGAAAAAAATGTGTCAATATTTTGTGTGAAATAAAGTATTGGTCATTGAAATTAATATATTCCTCTAGCCACTTACAAATTATCATTCTACAGATTGCCAAAAGCCTTAAACACAAACCTATTTACAGCAGTTATGCACAAACAAGTACGTTGGCATAGACATCTCTTACTTTCAGCAATAGTATAAACGAAAAATTCAAATTGTTTTTTAAAATTTAAATTTAAGAAAATAACAGAGAAATGTGTCTCAACTATTTTAGAAAAACACTCTCCTTTCAACATGTGAATCTCTGATTTACAGCCTTAATTACCTAACGAGTCTGATCGATTGAACAACAGCTGCTTCGATGGGGCTTTTAACAATCCAAGTCTCTTGCATACGTCTTCTGCAATTTGTTTAAAACTGATTTCTTAGGGCTAGTTTGCTTTCATTTTTAAGATTGTCCCTTTTATTTTAAAATAATATCCATTAATCGCGTGTACTGTGTAAATTCCTCATGAAATTTATACATTGAAAAAAATTCAAAATTTTTACTCTAACCAAGTTAAACGAATAACTTCCTTAATTAAATGAACATAAACTGTTAACTAATATTATATATTAATGTATTAATATACACTTTATTGCATTAAAAAGTAAAAAAACGCATTGTTGCATCACATAAAAATTGCGACTGAAAATGTTAGAACACTAAAATAAGTTACAATATAATAAAATATTATAAAATTGTTAAATAAGATGGCATAATATTATAAATACTTTCTACGCAGAGATATGAATATAAGGAGTTAGTTGATTTGTTATGTAATATATCCATAGATTGAATGATTGTCTATTCCGGGGGAGATTTATGGACGCCCCAGCCGTGGAAACATTTTGTGAAACGTTTCGATTCTTTATTTTTAAGAGTTAAAAATAATTTACGCGGACGATCAGGTTGCTTGATTCGCATGTGTTGTATATAAACCTAGAGGGGAAAACCCCAAGAATTAAAAACTGTATGGAAGTGGGTAAATATAATGTACTTACTTGTGCAGATTTGTAAGCTAATTTAATTTCAACTTCACTACATCGTGAGCCGAGCCATAGGAACACCTGCTCGCCGTTATCTAGAATCATTATATCATCATCCGCTAAGTCATCTTGACAGAAGTCTGTGCATTTTTCAGCCACAGTGAAATAGCCCTTTTCGTTGGAGCATCTGAACAGTCGGGTATAGTTCATGTAATCGGCATTGGTATCATACGGCTTGCGTCCGCCCAATGCCACCCAGAAAAAGTTTTCGGGTTCTTCTCCCTCATTTAAAATTTGCAAACTAACCCAGGGACTGTTAAACATATCTTCTGCAATTTCTTGTATTAATTTTGCTTCCTCAGGACAACATTTCGAACCAAGCCAAACATAAACTATACCCGATTGTGAATCATCGCCTGTTTCAAATGGGACATACAATATATAACTGAAAGTAAAGATTAAATAAATAAAAATGTAATAGTTATAAAACAATAAACATAGCAGTAAAGTCGGACTTTAAACTTAACCCATTATCGTCTACGTTACTACATATAACTGCATGACCTCAAAAAAATTTCCCTTTTTTATATTGAAATACCCTTACCAAAATGCAGAATTTAAATATGTCGCATCAGGATGTATTTGTATTAAGCGGGTTGTTAGGGCACCGCCATTCGATCGTAAATGGAAAAATTCCACAGCCGATTTACCATCGGGAGATTTCTGCTTGTCCTTACGCTTTCCAGTATGTATGATAAACTTTCGTTTGAAATGTGCAAGGAACTTTAAATTTTCCTGCTGTTGATGGATCCGTACAACTTCTAGTTCTTCGCCGAACATTGTTTTGAACTTCTTTTGTAATGTAAAGGTAAATGTCAGCCAACCCATGTTGCCTGCATTGCGACCTTGCCAAAAGTATACAATGCATTGTATTTCATCTTCTGGAGGTGGTTTGCTATCATCGATATCGGTGCCATCTTCATCATCGTCTACGGGAATACAATAACGACATAAGAACACATAGCACTCCCCAGTGTAGAAATGACCCAACTCTTCCTCAGGCAAGCGTACAAATTTTTTACCCTCCAACACAAACGCTTCCATAGCTTCTAGATCGTAATTCCAATCCTCCTCCAATTGTTCGGCTTCACTAAGAGGCATGGGATTTTGACGTGGCATAAAAAGTGCAGCCAGATCAGCTCTAGTTTCTTGTTGTTTTGCCCACTTAGTGAGATCGGCACCAGTCTTGGCCACAGAATTCGCGGTCCGGGTAAAGTCCACGGCCATAACCTCATCCCAGCCGATGAATTTCGATTTAAACATCTGAGTTTCGGCACCCTCTTGCAAGCGAGTAACCAAGGCATATGCTGGCCTGGTTATCATATTAAATAGCTCTCGTGATAACTTGATTGCCGCAGCCCTCACTAGACGCGTCGACTTCTTGCCAAACCACACAAATAAATCAGTAAAACAATCGAGAATGTAAACGTTTTTGCTCACTAGCAAAGAGCAGACTAGTTTTTGTTCCGGAACTTCCACTTGCGGCAACTCAAGGTAGCCCATGCCCAACTGTACTTGATATAATCTCGGTGTTGAAGGCACAAAATTCTCCTGGACGTGTTGCAATATTTTTTGTTTGGGTGCCTCTTCAGGATCAGCGTTCAAATGACGCCAAAGTTCTTCACTCTCACTGCCTAAAACGGAACATAACACATATGTACGTCTAATCATTACAGCGCTCATAACATAAAGGCATACCTTGCATCTCAACGATTATTTCACATTTATTCTTTCTCTCTGTTTTATTGATTTTCTCTGCCATCAAACGTGTTTTGGAGTTGAGCGTGTTCTTGGAACACCTTCCTAGCCAAATGAACATTTTTATCCCACAATCCAGAAGGAAGGAATACCTTGGATCTAACGAATCCATGCTTACCCCAACTGGTTCCATGTGTATGGAGGAACCGGCTGCGTGAATTCGGTACAACCGTATAGTGTATAGCATATCTTCGACAGTATAGAATCCTGTAGCTGTGCGACCACCCTCTATATAGGTGACTGATGTATCGAAAAGATCAAGAAATTCCTCAGATTCATCACCTAAAATAAATTTGTTATTCAGTTGCATTTTCTAATAGGATTGCTCATCACCTACCCTGTTCCTCACGAATCGTACGACAAAGAGCACCCAAAAAGTTTCTCAAATTTACAGCATGAATGGCTGCGCATGCTCTCTTGTCCAATGTGGCTTCATTTCCAATCCAGAAATAAATTTCCCACTGGAGTTGACCCTTAAGATCATAACTCGTTTTTAGAACAATATAACAGTCACCTTCGTAGAACTTTCCATGGGCGGCTTCTTCGATTTTGTTGGGTAGGAAATTTTCAATTTCCCATATAGTCAACCCCGGCAGCTGTCCATCTTCCTTTTCGAAAAATTTCGAATAATCGAGTTGAGGTTTTTCCAACGATTCATCCCACCGTTTAGGCTTCAATGATTCCGGACGCGTTTCATCAGAATCATTGCACCAAGACTGATTTGCTTGCGCCTCATCCTTATCCTTTGCTACATCTTTCATACCCTTTAGTATTTTAGCCGAATCCTGGGCGGAATCAGTACGTGGACCACGACGCAAACGAATTTTTCGAGCTGTGGAGTCCTTGGGGGTCGATGTAACGGGAACGGATGGCGGAACAGCAGCTCCCGCTAGCCTCAACTGTGTTTGCAAGGAGAAATCTATATTATAGAATTCAACCCCAGCACCCTTGGTGGCTTCAGTTGGTTTTGGAGGCATAATCAAATCGGGATTATTGCGTAAATCTAGCTGGTCAAGACCATCCAATAAATGAATTGCATCTGGTAATGTTATCAAACGATTTGATGAAAGGTTTAGACGCTTTAAAGACCCACACCGGCATAAGCCTTCGGGGACCATTTCCAGTAGATTGTTGGATGCCGAAAATATTTCAAGACAACACAATTTTCCAATACCTGATGGTATTCCCTCGAAATCTAGTTTGTTATCGTTGAGATACAGTCTACGCAATTGCGTAAGCTTGCACAAGGACGCTGGCAAACTCGTTAATTCATTGCGCGACAGGTTAAGAACTTCTAGTCGTTGCCAGTTCTCTATGTTTGAACTAATTTCCGATATAGCGTTTTCGCTCAGATTCAGTCTTTTCAAATTTGGCAAATTGTAAACACAATCGGGAACTTTGGGGAGACTATTTTGAGACAAATCCAGTTCTGACAGATTCGATAGGGTATCCAATGTGGTGGGGAAGTTTGAAAGTGTGCGTTGAGTATTACGCATGTTGAGCACTTCAAGGTTTTGTAATGAAGGCAATTGCCTTAACTGAAACAGCTCCAATGGGTTATCGGCCAAAATTAAAGTTTGTAAATTGGCAAGACGTCTTGTTTGTGGCGGTAATGTTTCCAGCTTATTGTGAGACAAATCCAAAAACAAAAGATCAGTGAGATGTATGAACAATGTTGTTGGAATGGATTCAATTAAATTGTGACTTAGATTTAACACTAAGAGGCTTTTGGCTTTTTCAAGTCCTTCTGGCACTTCCTTCAACTTATTGTGCGATAAATCTAGAGTGGTAAGTTCTTCGAGGTGAAATAGCTCCGGTGGGACACCACTGCTTTTAATACAATTTCTCCTCAAGTTTAAGGAACGCAAACATGTCAATTCCGTAAGTTCTCCAAAAAGTTTCTCCAACTGATTGTTTTTCAGGCTCAGGTGTTCCAGCTTCAATAAATTGCCAAGCTCCTCGGGAACATCCGTCAAATGAGTTTTATCCAAATTCAGCCATTGCAACCTTGTCATTAACTTCACAGCTGAAGGGAATTTGTTGTCCTGCAAGAATATTAAAATATATATTGAATTATTAGGAATGTAGCACACCAAGATAAATAAAACTGTTGCTAATAATTGAAACACTCGCCCACTGTTTCGTGACATAGTTGTGAGTACATATCTACAAACACAGTATGTTTATGGCAAAACGTGGAAAAAACCATAAATCACAATGAAAAGCAACAAAACAAAAAAATAATGTTTTTATATGTTGGTGCACATACATATATCTAATGATCTGGAATAGCCACTTTGTTTATAAACAAACGGATATATACGTAGGATTTGATGATTTGACACCGTTCTCAATAGGAAAATATTCTCAATGCCTGTTTTAGCGAACTTCGCATTGGGAATCCGACCCAATTTTTGTTCTTAGATATTTACGCATTACTATTATTATATTGCATTAAAACCTTTAAAACCTTTCTTACTTACACTGAAGTCATTTTTTGTAAAATCCACTCCACGTACAAAAGGCAATACTCCCGTATTTGCCATTATGAAACTCCCTTACAGTAAGGATTATCGGTAAATTTAAATCAATTGTGTGGATAAGAAATATATCAATATATGTTTTAATATTTTAAAAAGCAATTGTCCTGAATTAGAATATATTTTTCTATTTTTTACTTCGTTTTTCGACAAATATGAAATCACTGACATGAATAAGAGTGAAGTTGGCCGTGATTGCAAACCGAACTAAAAACCGCTCCAAATGTGAAGAATATTGGAGACATACGAAAGGTTGATAAAAATAATGAAAGAGAACTGCCATTGTTTACGAATGAGTGTGAATCATAGCAAACATAAGTTTGTATTGAAAAACACAGGGGATAAATGAAAATCAGCTGATAATGTTTCGTATCCAATAAAATGGAATGAGCCGAACCAATCGTTCGACATGAACGTAACCATGGTATAATAATTACAAGGTAGGGCACAGCTACCAACTGATTAAAATTTTTTCTCAAGGTGGCTTGTTCCATCAAATCAAAATACATATTTTGTGTGTGTTGTGTTTTGAATACACCTATGTATGTTTTTACACGGTCTTTTTGTACACGGTTTTGATATAACACGGTTTGAAAATTGAATATTTTTAATTTTTTAAACGATTTTATTCCATTTAGCACGATTTGAAATTTTATGTACTTAATTTTTTTTTGCAAATATTACATAGATTAAAGGTCACAATTTGTACTTAAAGCGAATTTACATATAACATTTAATCATGATTAAAGGCTGAATCAGGGTTTATTTTCTTAATCAGGCTTTTGCGAAGTATGTTCATATCACAAAAAAGTATTTATGAAAGAAAAAAGTCTGAAACCATCGATAGTATCGATAGTTTGCGAACACTAGCTTAAAGATTTAAGTGAATTCCCCTATAGCGCTTACAAACAATTTTTACTGGTCAAAGCAAATGTGAATAGCACTAATTTAGGGGAATTCTCTTTAGGTTCGTTCCCGTACTTTTTGATAGTAAAGCTAGTAAAAGAGCGAACTATCAAAAATTACTCTCACATACAAGATTTGCGCAAAAAGTAAAGGAACGAAAAATAGTTAAAACATAAAGAAACGTCAAAATCAAAAATTTCATTTGTTAAGGACACAAAAAAGACTACAGAAACCTAATGTACAAAAAAAAAAAAAAACAATTATGAAACGGCGTCCATCGCGTGATTTTGATAATATTAATATTTATTGTTTATTTTTTTATTTGTATAATTTAGAGAAAAACATTATCGAATATTTGGAAGTGGAGTTTCCGACGACTCCGAGTCCGGAAAGGTTTACATGGCTGGACGCTGCCATAATTTTAATGCTATTAAAATTGATTGGAATGTTTTAGCAAACTTGAACAACAAGATATGGAACAAGTCAAGTTTAGGGGCTCCACTCGGATCATTTTGAAATGATTACCGTAAGTAGCCCTCCTTAAAACAACCCTTTTTCTATTGCCACCAAGGCAATATGGTTAAAAGGTTATATAGAAGAGAACTTAAGAATAAGACTTTCACATATTGACAGGCGCATATAGCACAAACCATAACCTCTAAAATGATACGGCTGATTAAAACAACATACTCTCCGAACTTCCAAGGCCCATATCGCGGGAAGTATGCATTTCTCCCTATAAAATATATATCACTGTAATCAGTTCAACGAGGACTACTTACTTTAAAAATGTCAAAGCGATCCAAGTGGAGCCCCTAAACTTGACTTAAGCCCAAGATATTTTGGATCAATGTACACACATTGGTTAGTACAATTAACCAACCCAAGTCTTCATTCTATAGTATCTTCATCTGAATCTTCTGCCAGCCATTCATCTTCGCTATCCTTCAAACGAGAATAAAAAATCAGTGTCCATTTCTAAATTTCTTATTTGTTTTTTTTTTTTCTACAGCCAAATGTGTGTGCGTCTGTCCGTGTGTCCTTTTTGTTGAAGCGCTAACTTTCATATGCTTTATTTCGGACTATATATCTCTGGCAATCAAATGTCAAATTCATAATTTACTACATTTACTATTTCGTGCTAGGCCAAATTCATGATGCAATAATAAGGTCATGTATCAAAACAAAAACATTTTTTTTGTCTCGATTATCTGTCAAATTTTTCCTTACAATATTTCAAAAAAGATCAATGTCTTTTTTTACCATGGCCAAATTGGTCTTGCAGAAAATAGGAGAAGAGAACGCCATTTTGGTTTTAACTCTCTTAAATTTAACTTTGCTTTTCTAGCAAAAATTGCAAAACTAGTACAATATAGTACTATATTGCAGGTTTGGGAACACAGCTTTTATGTAAAAGATCAATGTCTTTTTTACACGGCTTCTTCTGTAACCAATCTACCGTGTAAAAACAGACTTATGTGTACTATGGCAAATAAATTCAAAATAAATTGAAATATATTCACATTTAATTGAAATGAAAATGCTGTTTTTAACTCGTCCGTCTGGAAGTAATTACCTTTTTATGGATGAAACAATTATTTCATGGTATTCCATTCTGGATTTTGGAAAGAAATCATAACCTTTCATTATTTTTTCGCGTTTTAGTTATGTCTTGAAAACACACAACCACATATATTTGGCAGAAAAAGCCACCACTTACACAACACAACTCAAGCTGCCCTACCTTGTACTATTGTACCATGGGTACAATTATTCAAGGTAGGCCATAGCAAATTATAAATTAAATTTTTTTATATTGTGGCTTGTTATGTCAATGTCGTATACAAAATGTGTCACTGTGTATGTGATGTTTCGAAAAATATAAAAAAATATATTGTAAAATCAATTTTTTACGATAAATTATACAACATTGGTATGGAAAAATTTATAATTTCTGAATAAATCAATCAATATCATTACAAAATTGAAAAAGTATTTAATTCTATTGTAAAACGGCATATACATTAGAACTTTTTACAGGGTTAACCTACTTCATGAGGGTTTATTTGACATATATGCAAAGGGATTGACAATTGAAACCCACTGGGGTAACGAAATCCGATTAAATGTAAACGTACTATTATATAATTCATATTTTCATTCATGATTTCTGAATTATTTTTCAAATTGTATGGACGTTTACGTCACAGTTAATTCATGAACCCAATTTTCTTCGACTGTTCTCTCGCTTGTAAACGCAATGTCGTCTGTTCCTGTACTGCAAGGAAAATCCGTTAATATACGTTTAGACTACTAAATCCACTCGATCTCAAATGTCAATTCCATTTCGTATACGTCACGTTAATCCTGTTCAGAAATCCCGTGGATTATATTTGACGTATAAGCAATGGAATTGACATTTGAGATCGAGTGGATTTCGTAAATTTAAACGTACCTTTATCGTAGTAAAAAGTAGTAGATTCCTGCAGTACAGGAACTGACCAATATTGGGTTATCAAACATACATAATAATAAAATGTGTATGTTCGTTTACTAAATAATTAGTACAAAATGTTACTGGATGTTCTTCGTTTACCCAAAATCCAGATTAATCGGATGCATAGACCCGGTAACCAGGTACGTCGCCCAAGAAAAAAAGATATTCCCATAATAAGGGTAAAAGTACCAACCTCTGAACTAAATTTCAAAAAAATCTGATTTTTTTTACTAAACTAGGATTAAGCGCCCCTACCTACTTATAGCGCAAACAACTTATTTTTACAAACTTATTTTGTTTTATACTGCAATTTTATTGTTATGCTAGGGAGAAATTATCCATATTTAATTTCAAATCATAACCGCAATTTCGCTGTTGTTAAATGCGAACTACAACTCTGTGGTGCCACCAGCTGATTATTTTATTTCGTTGTGTCATTTAGTTCCAATTACATGGCGTTTATAAAGCGTCAACGAAGTTAAAGCAATTTCATATTCTGCTTTAATTTTGTTATTATAATTAACAAAAAATAAAAATTGCATTGCGACTGTATAGGAATACTGCATTTAAATATTAGGCGCCAAACAGTTTGGAGGAAGTAGCTATTGCAAAGGTTTGTTCAAATTCCTTTCGAATTTCAATGTTGGCAGACATGTGTTTTTTGCTCTTCCGCTGTCTGTCCAATCGTTTCAAGTTTATTACTGCATTCAACACAGAATCTCTGGTAATAACCGATTTGATGGCAAATAACGTTAATATTTCAGTTGGTATTGCCAAATTGGCATTCATCGCTGATGTCCAATGGAATCGGTTCGCTGCTACTTGTGTGACCATGAATTTGTGGATGGCGAAGAACCCTGGTTGATGTTTGAGGAGAGATTACGGGAGGATGGGCAAGTTGAATGTTCTCTGGCTCAACTGCTAGGTTCGATATTGCAGAGGGATTTGGACGAATCTTCAGCACATTCCACAGTGAGTTTGATTCATTTGAATTATACTCAATATTCATCAAAATTCATATTTTTTCTTGTAGTTGCTGTGCGATTCTTGCAATGCTGATGTTCTAGAGTTTGAAAGTTTGGACAAAAGATTTGTCCAATTACGGGAACGTATTTTAACGTCTTACAGGGAGAATACGACAATACAACAATTGAATAGCATATCGAACATTTTGAAAAACAGCGACAATATTCCGTCTCCGGTGGAAGTTAAGTTCGTCGATGACTTACTAAATCAGCCAACTAGTGACATGATTAATATTTGCGATGCTGATTTAATTGAAGAAGTTCCAGAAGAGGATTTCCCTGATGTTGACGCAACGGATACTTCGAGCCATAACGATGAAATTGGTCACAAAGAAATAAGTGAAAACTTTGACTTTGCTGCTTTTAATGAACATGTTGCTCAAAATTCTCTACCGGGTGGTGTATTGAATTTGTCAGACGGGCTTGTTAATATTGCTGTCGATAACAGAATGGAAGTGCAGAATATACCTTTGGAGGGGCAAGGTAAGTATTCCACGGATTTGGAAATATTCTAACTTCTTATTAGGATTATAAAATAGGAATTGTTTACCGTTCTACTTTTGGTTATAAGACTTAACAAATCTTTGTTTACA